CCAGGGCTCAGGGACCACTGTGGAAGAGGGGACAGAGAGACTGTGAGAGCCAGGCAGGAGGTGCGTGACCATATGGAAATAAGAGTTCCACAAGCTCCTGGGACCTTGTTCACATGAACCTACAGCAATGGTGAAGCATACACAAAAACCATGCAAACTCAAGCAGACAGAACCCAGCACAGAACTGTGAAAATGGGCACCAGGCCTCAGTCTTAGTTGAAGAACTACTGGCAGTTGATTACTGCTGGGTGAAGAGCTGATCTTCCTAAAGTGAGGGACTCTAGATAGGCCAACTAGACCTCAGTGGATGGGTTTGCACTGAGGGACATCTGGGGACACTAACGACTTGCTAGGGCTTAACACAAATGACAGAATGCATGAATTCTAGTGGGGTGAGGGGCTATGGGAGGTGCCAATGGGGAGGGGTATAAAGATGATTAGGATGGTCTGTATGAAATACATAAAATTCAATACATTTATAAAAAAAATGAGAGAGAGAGAGAAAATCTGGGCTGGAGAGATTAGCAGTTAAGAGTACTGACTGCTCTTGCAGAGGACCGAGGTTTGAATCCCAGTACCCACATGGTGGCTAACAACCACCCACAACTCCAGTTCCAAGGGATCTTCTGATCTCTGCCAACATTGCAGGACACAGGTGCCCCTACCTACGTGCTGGCAATACACTCACACACATAAAAATAAAATAAAAACAATTTTTTTAAAAGTCTGATTTTTTTCAAGGAAATAAATCAGAACATGATTTGGTAAAAAAAATAAATAACCCAAACTGCAGTTTGCAAATGAAGTTCTGGCCTTAAGCTTTCAGTTACTAAGCCCAAAAAGAAGCTGTATAAATTACAACTTTGGGGCTTAAGGAAGCTGATAGATAGCCATCTAGTCCAGGCCACAGCTATGAGAACTATTTTGGACAGCTGGCCAAAAGGCAGATAATTGAGTCATCTGAAACCCACCTAATTGCTCTCACAGCATGAGGCCAGAAAGTCACTGCTTCTTAAGGTTCTGAGAAGTGTGGTTTTCTGTTTGTTTTGTTTTGCTGTTTGTGGTGTACTGTTTTTGCTTTTGCTTGGGGAAGTGGTTTGGTTTGGGTAGGTTATGAACAAGCTCACCAGTTGATTTACGTGTACACAGAGTTTCAGAACCCCAAATTTACCTGGCTCAGGGGACCAACAGCAAGAGAGCATGAGTGACTTGTACAATAGCACATGGCTAGTGAGCATGCCTAGAGCCCTTGGCAAACTCCACGCACACTGCAATCACAACAACAGTTCACTAAATACCAACTCCTGTGTTCTTCCCTTGGAGATTCTGGTTTAATCCCGAAATACATACATTTCTAACAAGCTCTTGGGTGAGGGTGATGCTGCTCATCTGGGACCCACACTTTGAGCCTCTGGTCTAGAGTAAAGTTGTTCAGACTGCTCTCTGAGTGTGGCTCCAAACACTTAAAGGCTCAAAAGCTAGTGTTCCAAAACTGATGGTGGAAATTGAAAATAAAATAGGAACCAGGTATGATGGCTCACACACACCTGTAATCCCAATCTTGGGAGGCTGAAGCAGGACTGCCATGAGTTCAAGGCTACCTTGAGCTAAAGAGTGAAACCCTGTCTCAAAAATAAAAAGTAAAATAGGAAACATGGCCAAATATAAATATCTTACAGTATTCTAGTCTGTTATAAGAGACATCAAAAGCTGGGAACAAGCTGGGCATGGTGGCACACGCCTTTAATCCCAGCACTCAGCAGGCAGAGGCAGGTGGATCTCTGTGAGTTCAAGGTCAGCCTGGTCTACATAGTGAATTCCAGGCCATGTGGGGCTACTGGGAGACCCTTTCTCAAAAAAAAAAAAAAAAAAAAAAAAAAAAAAGCTGGGAACAATCCAAATTAAGGTAAAATGAAATTACAAGGGTCATGTAATATGTGAAAAGACAGAAGTGACCAATAAACAAAAAGGCCACATTTGCAAAAGAAAGTAGATCTGCATTAGAGATACACATTTCAAATCTATGGAATTATGAAAAGGTATGCGCAAATAAAAACTCTCGAAGCTGTTTTAACTATCCTACCATAACTCATTTCGGAATATCCTTTGGTGTTATTTACTTAGAAAACCTAGTCCCAAGTCACTCTTGAGGTCAGGATTTTGTTCAAAATCATCTTTTAAAAATGGCTTCCCACTGGTTTCAGAGCCTGGGGGGCCACAGAGAAACATTCTTCATCACCACCCCTCCGTGTGATTGCCATTCCCAGCATCACATCAAAGGGCAGCATTCTAGTACTGGTATAACTGATATTCTTGTGTTGTACAGACAGCCCTTGACCCTGAAATAGTATATTCAAATATACAATTCTCTTTCAACAGCTCAGAATACCTGTAATTGCCTCTATCTACATGCCGTTTGTCTCACTGTTCTGAGAACACAACCAAAATTCACAGCAGATGAATTCAAACAGTATCTCCTCTGGACTCTATGCCATGCTGTCTCCGATGCTTTAAAGTCCATTTTTAAATCCATTTACCATTTGTGGTTCCTGCTGTGCTTCTTTTCCTCCCAAGACAGTGACACATCTGAAAGTCAGATCCCTTCATTACCCAAGTTATACCCACAGCCACACTGCTCCTTCCACCTTCCCAGTACTCCACTTAGGATATATATATATTTTGCTCTTGTATTCTCTTCACCCCTTCACTCCCAACCCACCGTATCCTTGTTCCCCACCCAAAATAAAATAAATTGACATCTAAAACCACAGTATTTAAGATGTGACCTTTTTTAGGACCACTGTAGTAAGTACTGTTCTGTCAACACATACTGCCTACTGGTGCTAAGAGGCAAGAACAAGTTCCAAACAGCTTCTCCTACATAAACAGGTGAATCATTGGAGAGAGTTGCAGATTTTTGGCATGCTTCTTTAGTGACTATTCTTTACCATCACAATGGTGATTCTATTTAAGGCCTGGAAATTAGTACTCCCTAAAATATAAGAGGATCATGGAACATAGAATTACAAGAGTATAAGGAAAATACATCATATCAAAGGCAGCCAGGTCATTTCATGTTAATACTTCCTTTCATTTAAAGGACTCAAAGCATTTCACAAGATCCCAGGGCAGTGGAAAGAAAGTATCTTGACTTTTCAAACCATAAGCACAGTAAAACGTTCATCACAATGTTTACTGATAAATGCTACATTAGATGCTCAAGGTAGTGTAGCCTAGACTTCAGGGACCTCCATGGCCACCTGGTATTCTTTGCCCTTGATATACTAGAATATTTGAAAAGCAGATAATTAATAAAATTTAATATGTGGTATAGATGAGAAAGGGTAGACTTACCCATTTGCAACAGTGAAAAGTACATCCTTTTCAAATTTAGCTATAAAGTTCAAACTACTTTATTCACTTTTATTCAATTATATTCTCAATGTGATCTTATAAGCTACTTAGAAATAGAACCCTTGTCAAAACCGCATCCTAAGTTATTGAATTCAAAGTAAAAGTCAAATAAATAACTATACAACAGCTGTGTGGGGTGATATATGTGTATATACTCACATATATATGACTGCATAATACAGAAATTAAGTAGAAGTCTGATTTTACTCTTCCAGGGGTGTCAATCTTTGCTAACACACATAAAATGCAGATGTCCAATCCTGCCCCATACCATTCTGATGACACGATAGGAGTCTAGTAATCCGAACTGTACGCATTTGGAAGCATTGAATCCAGGCCTCAGTCATGCTTAGCATGCTCTCTACCTCTGAGCTACATGCCCAGCCCTGTAATTTGGAAACTGTAATATATATTTTTAATAAGCACTCTAATAATACTGTGAGAAACACTACAAAACACCTGTAGGAAATCATTTGTAAGAGGCAAATTTTAAAACCTTAGAAGTATACAGTATAAAGAAGTTTAGATATCATTTTATTTAACTGGATTAATACAGGAGCCTTTCTAGAATCCTGATAGACTGGCTGATTGATCTTAATAAGAAAGAATAGCAGCATTTATATACTGAATAAATATGCCTTTCTGTAAAATCTACTACTACTACTACTGCTACTGCTGCTGCTGCTACTATTGTTTAAACTCGCTTGTTTATGTTCTTATTGAATTTTTTTCAATAAAATAAAATTTCAATAAAATAAAATTTATTTTATTGAATTGTGTACTTCATATGGAATATCTCAGTCAATCTTAATCATCTTATATGCCCTTCCCCACAGGCACCATCCCACAGCCCCCCCCCCGAATTCATACATTCTATCATTTGTGTTAAGGCCTATTGGGCCAAATTAATATCCCCAAATGTTCCTCAGTGCAAGTTCATCTACTGAGGTCTAGTCAGCCTATCCAGAGTCTCACTTTAGGAAGATCAGCTCTTCCTCACCCATCAGTAATCAGTTGGCAATATTTCTTCAGCTAAGATTGGGGTCTGCTGTGCATTTCCCCAGTTCTATGCTGGGTTTTTGTCTGCTTGAGTTTGCATGGGTCTTGTGCATGCTGACACCATTGCTGTAGGTTCATATGAGCAGGGTCCCAGGAGCTTATAGGGCTCTATTTCCATATGGTCATGCACCTCCTCCCTGGTTCTTACAATTTTTCTCAGGGACTTCTGCAACAGTCCCTGAGCCCTGGGTGGGACTCACTCATTTCTTGGGATTAATTTTCAACACTGTGTATAAGCCTTCGACTACACACACAGATTATTTAAAAAAAAACAGCTGCTTTATGTTATTTATTATTATTTTTAGCCAAAATGAATATATCCTTGCAGGGTTGACAGATGTCTCCACAGAAAACAGGATGCAGAAGATAGAGTTCTCAAAAACCCTGTTTTGAACAAGATAGTGATTACCTAGATGTGTAGATGTGTTCACATAGGAATGATTTTTTAAAAATACTTTAATATTGAATATGCTGAATATATAGATAGATATATATATATAAATGGTAATCAGTAAGGAAGGCATTACCTGTGATGCCATCTTCAGTAGTGCACTGTTGGGTTGTATTTGCTCACGTCACCTTTCAGAGGAGTGCAAAGGGCATCTCCAACATTTGGTTCTGTCAGAAAACCCCAGAAGACTCAAAATCTACAGAAAGGAATGAAAATGTCTCACCATCATTAATAAACTACAAAACCCAACGTACATTTCCTTTTTTCCTACCCCTCCCATTTGTGTATTGGGTGAGTTATCCTCAGATCACATTTGTCTTTATCACTCACACACACACACACACACACACACACACACACACACTATAAATTATAGGGAGGCCTCAGAACTATTACCATTGTGCTTGGTTGCCCAGAACTAGATGATAAGACCCTATAGATGAAGACACCACACACTTTGGTGACAGGACACAGACAAATCAAGTCAAAATTGAACTAGAAGCTTCCTCTCTGCTATCCAGCTTTCGTAGTATCAAAAGGTGCTATGAAGACCACTGGGAGAAAAAGTCATCAACAGTCTTACCCAAGAGTGGTTCCTGTGTGATACAATACTGACCTGCCAGGAAGATGTGCCTACTTGTACAAAAGTGGCATAATGGTTATGAAGGTAACCAACTGTTTTCTGAAATAGTGGCATGATGGTTATGAGGGTAACCAACTGCATTAGACGTTCACTCCACAAGAGGCAATTCATGCCTGGCAATGAATTCCTGAGGGATTTTTTCTATAAACCTAGTCAAAAGTCTATGTCTGGGGAGGAACCTACTACTGTTGCTTTGCTAAATGGACATGTTGTCAAATAGCCTTCTAAATATTTGTTTATACCTATCTTAGCTACTTTTCTGTTGCTGTGATAAAATACCCTGACCAAAGCAACTGAAGGAAGAAAGGGCTTATTTTGGCTCTCAGTCTGAGTTACAGTCCATCATGGCATGGCAGGAAAGTCATGGTAGCAGGGCCTTGAGGCGGCTAGTTGCACTGCATCCACAGTCAAGAAACACAAAGCAATGAATGCTTGTGCTCAGCACACTTTCTCCACAGACAGTCTAGAACTTCAAGCCCCGGGAATGGTGCTACCCACAGTGAGTAGGTCTCCCCACTTCAATGAATCCACATAATCTTCTGCAAGCATGCCCAGCAGTCCTTCTCCCAGGATCCTAGATCTCATCAACTTGATAGCTGAGATTAACTATCACAATACCTATAGATTAGAGTTGTTCTCAGCCCTGGCCAGAGAAACTTCTTTTTGCAATGAGCTGCAGTTAATGCAGAGATTCAAACTGGTCAAACTGCTGAGAATAAGTGTTCCACCATAAACAGGACACCTACATTACTGCCATCCAGGGTTCAGGGAACATTGTGAAGGAGGGAGTGAAGAGTTTAAGAACCACAAGGACAGCAAGAAATGCTATGAAATGCTGACTTCTAGAAATGATACAGCCACTGCACCATAGTCTCAGTAGTTGTGGTGACCTGCACAAGAACCCACACAAAATTGAGCCCATCAGCATTCATAATGGACGGGGCTCCTGAGATCCCATCCCTAACACAGGAGCTACCAACAGTTACTAAATGCTGGAGAAGGGGGAGTCATTTTTCCTGGGTGGTATAATCACTAGTAAGTTTCCCGTGGTTCAGTAAATAACCTCATGTCCACACTCACTCAGGCAACCCCAATTAAGCTAATTAAAAAAAAAAAACAGAAAAAGTAGGAGGACTTGCTGGGAAGGAGAAAGAGAAGAGAGAGTAATGGGAGGGATGGATATGATCAAAATACATTACATATGTATGTAACTGTGAAAGAACAAAAGTATTTTTAAAAGTAAGTGAAAAGTAAATTTTTATTTAGAAAGCTAAATGCTAGTAAGAACTGAGGAAGCCCTATTAGGGAGCAGAAACCAGCAAAGCACACTTACAATGTTCCATCTTCCAAGTGATATGAAATAATTATACATCACTTTCAGAAGTGAATAAAATGTGAAACTAAATAAATTCACACCTATGGAGCAACTATATCATTAACATGACAATGTAATGTAAAATGGCAAAGAAGGGGTCACAAGTAACTTTTATAAACAACTTTCAAACAGTGTGCAACACTCCAAAAATATTCCCTGGTGCCTTTAATCTATTTAGATACAAATAACTGAAAGTTCAGATTTGGTCCCTCAGTGAGCAAAACCTACTATGATGTTAAACATGCTTCTTCTATCATCAGGCCTAAATGGCAAGATACGTTTCACAACATAGACACATGGTTTTATCCCTACCATACAAACAAAAAACTTTAATTTGAAGCAAAGCAAGTTGGGAAATTATCCTACTTGAGAGAAATGTAGAAAACAAGAGCTGGAGATGTTGGGATAGAAATAGGAATATCTAAAATGACCAGCTTCAAAATCATGAGCTATTAAAGAAAATTTACAAGAAAATCCATTTTTAAGAAAATAGTTAAGTACTATAATTTTTAAACATTTAATATTTTATCTTTTATTTATTTTTTATATATTTATTGAATTTTTGTGTATTTCATACAGAACATCTCAAACAATCTTAATCATCTTTATGCCCCCATCCCCACTGTCACCCTCCCATAGAAAATATTTAATATTTTAAATGCCCAGTAGCAGACGAATAGCCACATAAATTTGTTACCACATAATTTGCTTAATCATAATTTTGTTAGCTATTAATAAGTTTTATGAGTTTATAATAAAATAATTAAAAGTAGTCTATACTACAGAGGATAAGTGTCAGCCCTGGTGGCATAAGCACTAGGAAGGCTGAAGCAGGAGGATCCAAAGTTGAAAGGTCAGCCTAGACTATCTAAGACCATGTATAGGAAGGAAAAAAAGAGAGGGAGGAAGAGAGGGAGAAAGGGAGGGAGAGAGGGCACCAGTGAGCAGGATACTATATTGTAAATACATAAGATCACAACTGTTTATTTTATAAAGCAAAAAACATGAGATAATTTCTTCTGATATAGTTGTAAGTATTGGGTAAAATATTGCCCATCTCTAAACAGATTAAGGTGAGCAATTCAAGTCAGAGACTTCAGAACAAAAGCTTCTCTTCAATATCTATATACACTAAGGATTTCCCAAGACCCAAATAAATGGTAAGACATTCACTGACATTGCAAGCTTTCTGCAACAGTTCAATATAAAAAATGATTCCCTAGAACTCCCTAGAAGAAACAGTATTTAACCCTATCTGAGCTTAGATTACAATATGTTTGATTATAACAAAAGAAAAAGGGGAGAGGGCACCCTGTGACTTTAACCCTAAAAACTGGACACACTTTGGTAATTGGCCAAGTATGTGAAGACTGGGCTAAGAAAAGATGTTTCACATGCAAATAAACAAACCCTTCATATTCAAATTTTCTCAATATGCCCAAATCCACCTTCTTCTCTCTAATCAATTAATCCCTTACCAAGCACCCAGGAATAGGCAGCAACACCCCATCATCAAACCTCTAGGCATTTCATGGTGAGAGGTTTTGCAAGAACAGAATTCTACTCCCTCCACAACCTCACACAAAGTTTCATCACTATGCTCTGGAGAGATTCCAGTTATTCAGCTGCCTCTTAAAAATTACAGATTGCTTCCAGATGTTTTTCAGGTGATTGCAAGTCCTTCCTCAGCCTGCAACTCATGAATTATGAAAGGGCATCCTTAATTCATGAGAAACAGCTCTCCATCCCAGTGTCCATTACCATATATCCACCTCACGCGCACACTCTGGAATTTTAGGTACTCACACACATGCTTTTACCTGGGTAATAAGGCATCGCTGTTTATCAGTGAGGGCTTTACTGAGAGCCCGACTTATATTTTATCATCATGACTCTGCCAGCAGCAAGACTTTCCCGACTTTAAAGGCAGCTGGTCCTTTGACAGTAATGCACAGAATGACATCGGAAGCAAGGTTAAATGGAACGCAAGTAAATTGAAAGGACTTTCTTAAAATTCACTGGGTCTTGATAATTCTTTCAGTTGTCATCTCATTTAAAAACAAAGTATGTCTCCTGCTAAAAAGGGAGATGATGGCAGTTAACAGTTCAGTCACACTCAGATCTCTCCCCAGGCAAGGGCTTTCCTTCTAACAAAACATCCTGCCTCCACATAATAAAATCAAATTCAGGCTCACAGTCCTTCCTTGTAACGGCTATGTCACATCCCTAATTTCAACAGAACAAAATTTAAGGTTCGTTTCCAGGTGGCACAAATCCAGGGAATTTAGACCTTAACTATGCCAAATTTAGAAATCTAATAGGCAGGGAATTTACAAAAGATGAAAAATCACCAAATGAACACCGGTGGTGACTACCAATCCCATCATGAATTTCTCCCTGTATCAGAGAAAGAAGTGTGCAGGAAATTTACCCCAGGAGTGTGGATTCATCCATAGCATCACATGCTTACCTAGAAGGTAACTAACAAATCGACCAACAATTCAACAAGGTTTCAAATACCTGAAGCTATGAGCTATTTCTTGAATAACTTCCTTCTTGAAAATGGCCAAATTAGGGCAGGTGATAGATTATAGTCACATGTGGAAGCCTGTAGAGTTGAACAAAATATTCTACACAGGCCTACAATCTTCACTGACTTGATTAAACAAAATAATATTCTAGAGCCTTAAAAAGTGGATGAATCCATAGTGATCACCAAAATCCAATCCCTGAATTTACACATGATAAAACTGAAGCATGAGAGGCTGAGTGGCCTGTTCATTCAAATGCAAGCATCTGGGAAATAGTGATGCCAGGTCAGAAGCCTTATCATCTACCTGCCACACTGAAGCTACATTCTCCACAGCAAGGTCACAATTCCTCAACAATGTACACGTTGGTTTGCTTTCACTCTCCCCACTGAACAGCAACTCTTTTAAAGCTGAATTGAATGAGGCTTCAATCTTCAGCTTCCGTTCCATCAATCCCTGAGATTTCATATTAATAATACAGAATTCTCTTTTGTACCCAAGAAATCTTCGTGCAATCTGACCCAGAGTTTGGTTCCTAGCACCCACATCAGGCAGCTAACAACCACCTGAAACTCCAGCTCTAGAGGATCTGATACACTCTTAGGGAAATTTGAATGACTCTAAGAGGGTCTCAATTACACAACAAA